AATTTTTAGCTTTCCTGCTGAGAAGTTGTGGAGAGGCCTCTGCCACAGAGTGAACAAAGCAAGCTCGTCCACTAGCTCCTTGGTATTTATCCAATGATTTCCTTTTAGGGCTTGTTGGAGGTGGACGCGTATATAAAATATGTATGTGCACCAAATTCGTTTTAAGCCAAGGCCTAAGATCAAAGCATATGCTCTATAGTATCCATACTGCCACAGCGCTCCTTTTCAATACGATATGGAAATGCAAACACCATTTCACCAAGCATTATATTGTATGGAAAAAGAATAGAATATGGCAAATCACACACTATCTTTGCCAAATCGAAATATTTAATTCAAAAACAAACTACTCGAATTTATTTGTTATTGCTTGGTTTGTGATTTGAATTCTAATTATTAATGGATGATGATTTACTAGTTCAACACTATAAAAAGAGAGTAATGTTGTTAGTTCAATAGGGTGTTTGGAAAATCTTTTGCTAATTACAATACCAACTCTTCTTTAATTCTCAAATCAAATATAAGTGATAATGCAGTAAGTGAAGCATGGAAAAGGAGAATTCTTTATGCATTTGAATTAATAAAATAGGCTAATTATTATGTTTGTAAAACTAGGGACAATATGTATTGATGTATGCGGAATATTTTAAGGAAAATTATGATTTAAGGAGGGTCATGAACACTAAGATTAAGGATAAAAAAAAAGATAAAGAAAGAGAAGAAGGGACGGCGGCTTAGGATATGGGGAAATACTAAGGAGACTATGAGAAAAGAAAAAAGAAAAAAGAAATAGTAGACCAGGATGATATAATTTAATATAGGACAATGATGCATCACAAAAGCTATAGTTCCATCAATTATTATGATTATTTGAATGTCAATTAGTCTCAAGACACTATCAAATAAGTTAATTATAAAAGAAATTAACATTTGAAGAACACATGACAAAAGGTCAATGAGGAAGTAGTACAAGTGAAGAGAAGATTAGTAATTAATTTTATTAATAATTATAATGTGTGATGAACAAGACGTGCAGCTAGCATTTCTTTGTTAGCTTTCGGCCCATGCGTGGTGTGATAGGTGGTGGTTGGTGTTTACTTTTGAGCTGCACGTAAAGCCAATGGCCGGCTTCTGTTCATCTCCCCTTGGCCTTGACCCCTTCTTCTTCCTACAAGTTGCCATAATTCTTGGACTTCAGATCCTCAAGAACTTGAGCAGGATTAGCGTTCTTGTTGGCGTGCTTTTTAAGTTCATGTTCTTGCTTTTAACCACTTGTCTCATATTAATTCTGTCTGCTGTCTGTCCATATTTCTGGTCCAGCTTGACTTCACTTCAATTTCATCTAACTTGGCCCACGAAATATTTTCTCACATTTCAGTAGGTATTACCTTCGACAGTAAGCCTATATTAAGACCAGGCCTCTCGATCCTAGCGATGTTATTAAATCCAAACCGAACAACTATATGGCCAACACTATTAATCAATGGATCATTGATTCAATTAGTGATCCAACTATACATTGAGTCGATAGTAATATATGTAAATATATTTTACTACATATAAAACATAAATAAAAAAGGATGAGTTGCAAAGTGCATAAATTTAGAAAACGAAGGTAACAAGTTCAAGTATAAGAGTTATAATTGTTTTTTGCTTATTAATCAGATCCATTGTTAGAATCGGTTAAATTTAATGGATTTGATTAAGTTTGATTTTAATTAAAAAAATAAAAGTTAAAAGTGTTTTATTATCATCCTTTACACTTTCTAACATATATACTACATTGTTTATTTAAATAGCATAATGATGCTATTGCTGGTAAAATTATTTTTTGAAAGAAGTCCACGAGATAAATTAATCCATATATATTTTTTTACTACTTTGTTGTTTTTAAAGGGAAAAAAAAACTTTGTTTTAATGTTTTTTTTAATTATTTGAATAGTAAAATTATGATGACACCCTTAGAAGCAAAAAATTATTAAACTTGTATAGAGGGTTTTTTGTATTTTTAGTTTTGCAACAATAACATTATGGAATTGCCTTTAAATTCAAAGAATAAGTATGATTTCAAGGGTATTTTTATCCTTTTATAGGTTAGGAGTTGTTTGGTAATTTTTAAAGATTAAACATGGATATAAATTAAAGGCTATCAGGCTCTAATGTTATAGTTCTACTCAAATCCAAGTTCTTTCAGTGTGGTTCAGAAATATTAGACAGATGCATAAATAAATTGTCGGTTGGAAAGGCTAAGTGTCCACGAGCGGGGAAAAGGTCAACGCCCATGCGTAGGAAACGTGGCATAATTCATTGTCTCGCAAGTTCCTATCCCACCTCTTAACCAGTCAGCTACACGTTATAAATAAAAAGGGAGAATGTAATTGTGATTGTAATTATTTTTTAAAATATTAATAAATATATAATAAAAAATATTTTAAAAATTATTATTTAAAAGTTATTTTTAATATAAGTATATTAAAATGATTTAAAAATATTAATAAAATAAAAAGTAAATAAAAATATTTTAAATTTGTTTAAATTACTTTTAAATCAATTATTTTTATGAGCAGCAGAACATTAATTTATCCCCGAGCAATGAACTAATTATACACATAATTTGTGTTCTTATAGTAATTAATAGCATGTAAATTGGTCAAAAGCTAACTGAGAAGATTCCACTCCAGCTTTCAGGCAGTCTCGGTAAATTGTACATACTAACACGTGTTAAAAAAGAACCAGAAGCTTCCTATTTGGAGAAAACAAAGAGAGGATTCTTTGAAGGTGTTACAGTTTTTTTAAAATACTTTGTAGTTTGAAATATTTTAAAATAATAATTTTTTAAAATTTATTTTTAATATTATCATATTAAAATAATATAAAAATTTTAAAAGTATATTAATTTAAAATAAAAAATTTTAATAGTACCAAACACGACTACTATACATGGAGTTTCAACTATTATGGTTAATTCAAGTTACTTTACGGGGGATTGTGGAACCTGAGATGAAGGAAGAGATAGGAGTGTGCTTATTAACATGTAAAATGTTATTTTGTCTTATATTTAAATTCTTATTATTTATATGAGAATTATTGAATGTTTATATAATTATTAATTTTAAAATTTATAGAATTAATTATGATCCGTGTAAACTGATTCGAACACTCATATTAATTTTTTTTAAAATTAAAATATATATAAATTGATGAATTATTATTATTTTTTTTCTCACAGACAAGCAAAATTAGTTTTTTCTCACATGATATAAAAAAAAAGAAAAAAAAAGAAAAAACAAAACTAACTTGTCATATGAAAAACACACGAGGAATCAACTAAAAGCAGGAGAGAAATATCTCAAGGGGATTGGTTCCAAATGTGAAGAGGAACGAAGGAAGAGCAACCCTTGTTTATTAAAAAAAATCAGTACACGCATTAGCTTCACGAAATGCTTGAAAGAGCATAACCAATTTTCCTTCTTTAAGTCTCCGAGCACAGAAATCAAGGGAAAATGGGGATAAAAATAGCATTTAATCCCATGCTCAGCAAACCTACTAGCTTCTTGAGAATCAAATTCAGTAATTATATTTCTACAAACTGCCTCATATTTCTGCAACAAATATTTGTTGTGACATCATTGTAAGACGAACAATCCTAGACCCAAGTTTAATTTTTTAT